TTCAGGCTTTCCTCGAGGATCGCTTCAACGCCTGGCATGACGTGACAGACGCCTTCAAGCATGTCGTCAGTACAAGCTGGTCCGACTTTGGTGGCGCTGCCGGCCTGGACCCCCACATCCAGGTTTTTCAGGACGCCCGCCTCATTTGCGATGTGGCATTCCTCCCAGAGGTTGCCCTCATCGATCGTTTATTGGTCAGCCTTCCCCTTGAGTACTACCGCTCTGAGTTATGGCGGTATGACTTCAAATCGGCCCCGCAGGCTTACGAGGCCACAAGGGCCCATCAGCGGATGCGGGCCCATCTTCAACCCACTTCCTCCTCCCAGCCTCAGCGTATTGGTTACGCTCTGTCCTCCTCTCACGGCACTTCCCAGCGTTGTTCTGCTTTCCACGGTCGTCCCCGCCGTTCCACGCAGCAGGGCCACCACTTCTCGCGCCACTTCAGCTCGCTCGAGTCTGGTGAGAAGGACGTTGTTGCCCCGTTGTTGCCTGAGGGTGACCATAGCAACGACCTCGACCTCTGCGAGGCCGTCCACTACCACTTGGAGGACTCTACCCTCCCTACAGTCGAGCACCTCCAGCTTGCCCTCTCCACCCTCTCTCGGGCACGCAGCCGCTCTGGTCACGTTGGCGCATCGCCCCCCGACGTCCCTCAGCAAGACCTCCCTCAGGGCTTTATCCCTCCTCGCGGTCTCCTTTCCGTTGAGGAGCACGCGGCCATTTTGGGTCTGCGTGGGTGTTTGCGCTACCGCCAGGACGGTCATACCTCCTCGCGGTGCCCTTACGCCGCTGCCCTCGACCCCCACTACGCTGAGCTTTCCCGCCAGCATCGTGCTCAATCTCCCCCGGCGCCTCGCATCCTCGTGGTGCCTCCTAACCACGGTGTAGTGTACACCTGCGCCCTTCTCAGTAGTCGGCTTTCCGACATCTCCGTCGTGGTTTGCCCCTCTCGCTACTGGAGTTAAGGTATCGCACAACCCGACAGAGTGGACTCAACCCTCTGTCGTAGTACCGTTTGCACCTCTGCAGACCACCGTCTCTCCGCCTACCTCTCCGCGACTACCGACGCGTCGAGCCATTCGCTTAGCCCGTTGCAGCGAGAGCAGCTTGCGACTCGCAAGGACGTTGTGTCCTCCCTTTTGGACTTGAGCATGCTCCAGGCTCGTCAGGAGCGACTCACCCTCCATATAGCTAATTGTGTCGCCTTCTCGCCATCCTCTCTGACCCGGATCGCACCCTCCCGATCATTCCAATACGACTTGGGACCTCCACGAGGGTGTACTTAGCGCTGTGGGATTCTGGTTATCAAGACAACTCCATTCACCCACGTGTGGTGAAGGAAGTACACTTACCCACGACTGGGTCTCCGACTCCCATCTCCGTCACCCTAGGAGATGACAAGACTTGGCGCTTCTTCAATCAAACGGTCACCAACCTCCCTTTCTTCCTCCGGCGTCTTGTCGCCACGGCTCCTCTGCACATTTCGACGTGAGGGAGACGGGGTACGACTTCATTCTCGGTACTCCGTGGTCTCGTAGGTTTCGTAGCACCGAGGTTGATTAAGCGAGCAACACTCTAAGACTTGTTCTCAGAACGAAGTGTGGACAAACGTATCGCGTACCTTTCATAGGTACCACTGCGATATCACTCCCCAATCCTCCTCCCTCGGAGCCTTCCGTGCCCACACAATTTCCTACTATCACCGTCACCTTGCCTCGGCGGTTCGCCCACTTCATCCGACAGGACGACGTCACCTTATTTACAATCGCCATGTGTGTTTCGGGAGATCGCTGAAGCTTTGTCGCCTCATGTACAGAGGCGTGTGACGTTCAACAGGGAGCCGTTACAGCCTGATCACATCATCGCTTATGCATTATACAGATGGGCATCGGGGGAGACGTACGACAGTAGCACATGCAACTTCAGGATCGGGAGAGCTTCTGGGCTGGTGCGATACGGGACATAGCGGTAGCACCAGTGACGGTGTAAAGGGAGAAGATATCATGGCTGACGGGGGTGCGCAAGTCGGTCATCCTTCGAGCATTCGCTAACAAAGAATTACATTCCCCGAACTGCCACGGGTGCATGGACTGTAGTCACATCTACATCGACAAACCGGCGAGTGCCCCCAGCGAGGACAACTACAATCGTAAACGACATTCTCAGTTGCCGCGCAGGTAGTTGTCGATCTGAATTTACGTGTGTTCGACGTTCACATGGGGTACCCAGGAAGTTGGCACGACGTCAGGGTGATCCAGTTGTTAAGTTTGTGGGCGTGTGCGGTGGCCGGCAATCTTTTCTCGGGACCGCCAGTGATGCTCTTTTTCCAAGTGCAAACGAACGGGCACTCGCTGGGCGACAATGGTTATCCTTCTTCGGAATGGATAATTGTTGTTTTGTATGGAGGCATTGGTCAGCACCTTGTGGAGTAGCGCTACGAAAACAAGCAAAAATTTGCGAGGGGGCTGCGAAAAGGGCTTTCAGCAGGCTGAAGGGGATGTGCAGGTTTTTCCCGCGGACGCACAGGACAAATATGGCAACGTTGCCGCAGCAGTTCGTAGCCGTTTGCATTCACCACAACATCCTCATCGACGCAGGCATTCCATTTGACGAAAATCTGTTGTGGGAGGTGGACGCCAACAGAGTGCCCCGCCGAGTGGATCTCGGGATTCAACGACCCCTGCAGCCGATGTGCATGGAGAGTTCCACAGGTGATGCGCTCATTCTGAGGGACGCGTTAGCGGAGCAGATGACATGCGAGTAGCGGTGTCCTTCCTCTGGTTCTTAACTCTCCTGGATGCCGCACACGGATGGGGGGTGGGAGATGCAAGCAAGACTGGATTGACGGAAGGGTGGGGTCGTGTGTCGTCGTCCTCATTGTTCGAGAATTAGCTTCCCGGAGCTACTTGTGCCGTTCAGTTTTTGGAACGGTTCGTCGAAGTTTTCTTGAGTAGGGTCACTAGGGTGTGTTATCAATGTTTCTGTTTGTTTTTTCGTTCGCACATTGTTATTGCCTTCATTAGTGGCTTCGTCGGTCCGTTTTCTAATTAATGGTGTCGTTACGAGGATGTGTCTGTAAAGGACTGCGTTGTCGATATCGGCGAGGTTGGTCCCAAGTGGTAATGGAAAGTTTGGCTGCCAGCGTGTGATTTTTTATGACTGCCGTTGTTCAATCAACCCCTGTTGCAAGATGCATTTTTTTTTTCATGTTCATGTTGAAATTATGCACTTTGTGAGAAAGAGTTCGCCATAGTCTTTTGGGCGTCCTTTTCCATGGGGCATGGCAACATGACGTGTACGCAGCTCATGATGGTGGTTGTGTGTGTGTGTGTGTGTGTGTGTGTGTGTGTCACTGTCGTCAAGCACGATATGCATGCAACTTTCGAGCGGCGCATACATCAAGTACGTATTGTATGCATGAGCTCTTCGACGTCCAATCTCCCTTCACATACATGACATCCCTTGTGTGAAACAATGAAAACAAGCAATGCCACGACAGCTTTGTCGTCAAAGAAAAACAGAAAACAGAAGGAAAAAGATAAAAAGAGACAAATATAACAAATTATAATTCAAGTTGCCAGAACACTAGACCTGGCAGGGTTTCAATATCAATGTCAACATGATGAAATCCATACGAATATGAGAAAATAGAGGGAGCATTTGTGAACAAATCAGATTGTTGCAGCCATAGCTGCCATACCCATTCAGATTGTTGCAGCCATACCCATGCCTGGCAAGACCGAAGTCCCTGAACACATTATATATACGGTTCAGCCTCCTGCTGAGTCGGTGAAAAACTCCGACGAAACAGTTTGTCACAGCCCCTCGTTTTTGTTGTCCTCTTCTCCCTCTCTGCCTACGGGTTTACGGGGCAGCTCTGCTTGACTATATATAGGGTTCAGCCTCCTGATGAGTCAGTGAAACTGTCACGAGGTTTATCACTCACTTTGCACTTGTATAGTTAGTTGCTGCCTTAGCAGTAGCTTCTTCTATATCTCCTACAAGATAAAAAAGCCTGCTCAGGTAGATGATCTAATTCTCCCGATAATATGACTTGAAATCCTTAAATTGTATCTATGAAGCTCACATGCTTGCCAGGAGATCCAGTGAAGACTGAAAAAGTTTGTCACAGCGCCCTCGTTTGTTGTCCTCTTCTGAGTCTTCTCCCTCTCTGCCGACGGTCTACTGGGCAGTTCTATTTGATGATATATAGCACATGCTCACCGTGTTATGTTCTCCTGCCTTACATTTCAAACGCTCACCATACTTCACAGAAGAAATGCAGCCTCGAAACTGCAACGGACTGATCAGTGCAATTACCAAACGGAAGAAACAAACTGTTGCTCAGCACAATCCAACAGTCACGGTCCCCTACAAACTTTTTTTTTTTTTCTCCCGGAAGAAACCAAGAATCTACCTACTAGGGGAGGTGGTTCAAGCAGCCTCTGCTAGTAGACGTTGCGGGTGCCCCAGTCTATAGGTGGGGAGCTGCACCTGCCGGAAACTGGGACTAGTGTTCCCAAGGACTGGCAAGGAGTACATTTGATCACCATAGTACCATACTATGTTTTCCTGCAGGCCACGGCACGTTTCAGCAGCAACCAGGACAAGGTACATTGAAATGAATGACATACAGAAATGAAGAGCCATAAAGACGAAAACTGAGCCCAAGTTCACAGCCAATGCAGCAAACACCATTACAAGAGACAAGACCAGCGAAGCAAAGCAGAATCAAGCAGATATTTATAGTATACCAATATCGTCAGCTTTTTTTTGCTTCTTTTTTCTTTGTGAAAGCCAGGCAGGGCCTGCTAGAGGGGGTGATATGAGCATCTCTATTTAGCGAAGCCCCCCCCTTGGATGCTCCGGTCTATTGGTGAAGAGCAGCACCTGCTGGAAACCGGGTCCAACGTCCCAAATATTTTATTATTTTATTTTTTTACGGCTAATTCTTTTAAGCCCAACCAATTCAATTACCTGTCGAATCTGGACAGGACGGCCTTTCAGGCCTTTGTTTATTGTCATTATAGTATTATATTACGGGGAACCCCGTAGCAGCCACATCCGTGCTTAGCGTGCGGCTACCCATGCTAAACCGACCGTTGTTTTTTTTTTTTTAAATGGAACATGCTCCAATCTATTTGTGGGGAGCAGCACGTGCTGGGAACCGGGCCCAGCGTCCCATTCAAGATCATATTGAGAAATTGAGAAATTTATGGGAAAGTTCTTCGAGGTACCGGGGCCACTACCTGGCTTCGGCTAAGAAAAGCAACTGTGCACAAGAACACTAAAAGTCTCTATCCTCCAAAGCTCGGATCAAAGGATCATTCAGAACAAAAGAACCACCTGCATTAGGGCCTTTCCGCAGCCCAACCCTACCTGCCTCACCCCTATATCCCGATGCCCAATCTCTACCAGGCCTCATGGCCCCAACTCCTAGGTTACAGGGTGGCACGACCCACCCCAGAAACCCCCCATCTGCTGCATATTTCCATCTTCTTCTTCTTCTTCTTCTTTTGTTTTTTGTATTTCCATCTTTCGTGGCTCAACCATGTCACCTATAGATTGAAATCCAAAGGGCCAAACATATAAATGAAGAGGAGGGAAAACAAAAAAAACAAAAAAGTGGGCTCAAGGCTGATTACTATGTGTCATCCATTCGCAGGGGCCATGCTAATCTTCTCTGTATCGTTCCAATTTTAACGGATGTCCCAAAGGACGGCTGATTACTATGTGCAAGCAACTAACAATTGGTTCACGAGAGGGAAAAGAATCTTTAGCACACAACGGCAATGCCATCCCTCTCAGGACCTGTTCACACTTACGACCTTCTCAACTGAACCCCACCTACAAGGACGGTCAGATGCGTCAACAGGAAGTCCTAGTGCGAGTTTTTGAAGTCACCCACCAGTCCCCCTGGTCCTTTTACTCCCAAGCACAAGCCTCTCAGCATATGCTCAATAAATCCACCTGCAGAGAATGTTGTGACCAAAAGAATGAGGGAGTGAGATTTTAATGCAGCAATAGCTAAAAAATGAGGCATTGAAAAAATGAGAGTGTTCTGAGGAGGGGAAGGGGGAGAAGGGAGGGGGGAGGGGGGGAGGGGAAGGCATGTTATCAGGAAAATGAGACAGGGAGGTATAATACCTTTGTTGGCCTTTTGGCTAAAAATAGATCACGTCTATAGTATCTGCTGGTTCTGGACTTATCAGTTTAATATCTGATCCCACACAAGACAATTGCAGCAAAGGATTGACCATCGAGAAAAGAGAATGTTCTGAGGAAAATGAGTCACGCAACAAGAACACGCCGTGGACGAACCTCTGCTGCTGCAGATGTGCACCTTGGCTACTACGGACACATCGTGGAGTCCGTCCGCAAGGAGGAGATATTATTAGTCAGGCTGCAACTACTCTCTGAGTGGGAGGGTTTCCTTGATGACGGCACTGTACTGTGGCTGCTTACGTTTACTATGCAACATCACCGTCTGTATGAGCTTCATCAAATCGAACATGAGGACAACGTTGACTTCGAACTCGATAGCGAAAAAGGCATGAGTCACTATCATCGGACAGACCGTTAGCCGTGGTAGAATCACGTAGGTGGGGTCTGCCATACGGCAACAGACATCACCGACCACCACCTCAGTGGTCTGAATCGCAGAGACTTCCCTCAGAGTTTGGCCGTTAAACTGCACCGACTCCACCCGCATCAATTGCACCTCGATAGACGGGAACGGAAGTGAGGACCTCTCCACCGTCAGATCTCCGATTGACGGCTCATCCACAGAGCAGATGCTAGCCGAGGCACCAGAGATGTGACCCCCCCCCCCCACTGCTCACGAGGCCGGGACCCAGTGGGTGGTTGTGAGTGTCAGGAGTAATGATGAAGTTTATGGGCTCCGCCGCCAACAGCGGCCGCGGTACCGGCACCAGTTCTCGCTCCGCTTCGACGATAAACTCGGCGACACATGTGATACGTGTTCTTTCCAGGAAGCTTCTGTGAATCTCCACAGTGATTAGGTATTGAATGTTCACATAGACGCCACGGAACATAGGGAGCAAGATAGGACCCGTGAGCCCTCCGCCAGCAGAGGAGGAGGGCACAGAGCTCGTGTTTGCAGGTCGACCAGGTCCAGGCAAGGGACCAACTGAAGGTGAATCTTGAACTGAATCTCAGAGTTCCCTTCCGTAAGTTTCCCTGGATGGCTCAGCTCTAGCTTCCTCTCAAATACGGGCACAGACTTTGATCCTCCGCCGGAACAAACCCCCCAACACACCGACTCCCTTGCCAAACAATTGGACCACCACGCCACCAGACACGGATAGAGATAAGCCCAAGTGAATAAAAGCTGGTGCAGTAGCATTCACAACAACAGTGCCTTCCACAGACTCGCAAGGGTGATGATAGACCCAATCTTCTCGGGAGAAGGAGAGATCCACAGACGACATCATGGCAAAGTTAGGCAAACTGAAAAAGGAACGCAACACAACGCGCCACAGCAACAACTGCTCGCTGCGGCCAAAAACACTCTCTCAAGTCCCCTTGCCTCACATGACCCAAGCAGGTTGCTGCTCTCCGGACGCCACCAGATCTTCAACGGGTCAAGCGGATGAGAGGAACACCTCAATGCGCAACACGGGAAGGGAGCACACCGACAAAAAATGAGCGAATGATGAATGATGATCAGTGTGACAGAAACGAAACCGAACTGCATACTGTAAAGACCCAGAGAGAAGGAGACGGGATCATTACAAGAGGGATCGCGACGGTAATGTACTCATTTCTTGTCAGGGGATGGAGCCGATTATGGAAGGAAACACGGTGATGGGGAGCACAGTGACAACACATGAGCTAATGATGATGAATCGATGTGGTCTACTTTGTTTGCCTCTTGATGTACTCATTTCTTGTAAAGTCTGAACAGGACGATAGAGTACGCGAAGATGGGATCATTTCAAGTCTGAACAGGCGATAAAGCACTCTTGGTCTGTCAGCGGATACAGGTGATTAAGGCAGGGAACCGGGAGAGAGACGAAAAACCGAAGTGCAAAGGAGGCAGGTACTCTTGCCTGTCCGGATCGAGCTGTGCCGGCAGGAAACACGGAGATGAAGAACCCAAGTATGAAGGAGGCGGGTCGTACAGGAGATTCATCAAAGCATCAGAACTGTATTAACTCTACTACTAGAAGGATCTTCCTCACTACGAGATAGCTGAAGCTCAAAACCCCCGAAAATAGGTGAAAATTAATGCCTGCGGCCCTGCCAAACTTTTTTTACCCAATACTGACAACTGGAATGCAGAGTCTCTTTACCGTTACGAGGTCCACAATATCGCATGCTCGGGTGCAGGGCTTCTTGGGTACCGGTGCATGCAAGCAGGACTCATATGGAGAAGATCTGCATCCCCTCCCCCCCTCCCTCCCTCCCTCCCTACCCCACTATGCCAGGACGGTCGCACATGCAAAATAGTATGAGGGAGGCAGGGAGAAAAATAGAGGCAAACAAAGTAGACCACATCGAAATGACCATATCTATGCAGTGTGTCAGGGCAAAAATCGAACCGATGATGATAGCGCCCGCCCTCGGTGCTTAGGATCGAAAAGTGCCACCTGCAAAGTCCACAGCAGACACAAAGGCCAAGGTAAGTGGAACTGCACAACAAGACACTGCTGCTGATCCCATAACCAGTGTCATCGAAACGACACCAGTCACAAACAGTTTTGTGAAAACAAGCCTCGCTAGCGAGGCACCGAGGCCTGTAAATGAAAGCGACAATTGACTTGAAAAGTCAACAACAGTGTTGTGAACTTTTGTGCATAGAAATCAGGAAGGCTCTCCACTCTCCTCCATGACAGATGAATTCAAACGCGAATAGACTTTCATGATGAAGGTTTCAGACGGCAACACACAGAACGGTACAGGGAAGACTGCCATGGCCCCTGGGCAAGGATGACAGCATAAATCAAGAAATGGTCCAATTTAAATTTTATGTTTACGGGGAGGAGGGAGGGGGAGCAGGGAGGACGACGATTCCCGACACGTGTCCTTCGTAGTTCTTGATATCAAACTTGAAGATACCCAAAACTTCATCGACAAACCGGATTCGGCTCTACAGTTGCAGTGCGAAGGGGCCACCTCCCGGCAGGCCTACCGTCTTCACCTGAATAAAACGCCCGGCCATTATCGCTGCATCTGGTCCGCAAGTTGCCCCAAATACAGCTATAATGACCGGGCGTTCTATTCGGGTGAAGATGGTACCTCAGTTCATACAATCATGAACTGCTGAAGAGTTCGAATCCAGAGCCAATCAGATGAACAGCATATTTTTTTTTAGAAAAACAAAAGGGAGAGGAGGGGCCAGCTAGAAGAAGGATAATCAAGGAAAATGACCAATGTAAATGACTGGATTCGAATTGCATCATCCCATAGAAAACCAGATAGTCATGTGTCCGAGGTTCTCCTAGCTGAAAGCAGATCGCACCACCAGAAACACACCAAGTAAGAACAAAGCAATGATGTCAATTGACAATGAAAGCCCCCTTCTCGCCACCACCATTGATGTCTCCAAATCTCGCTCTCCTACATGGCGCTTGGCACCCAGACTACAAACGCACGACACCTAGACCCCTAGCCTCTCTCATGACGCAATCCAGTTGACTTCAGCAGCTGTCCGATGAATTTGAAGACTCTGCTCATGCGGCCCACTTCCCCATCACCAGGTGTGTGTCCCACTCACGCTGCCCCTGCCCCTAACTTGTCCCCACAGGTTCTTCTGCGCCGCCCAAGAACGTCCACCATCACCCCATCGCCTCCCTGCGCAGCGGCTTGGCTATGGCCTCCGCACGCAGTAGCTGCGCCCAGCAGCTTCTCCCAGCGCCCGTGTGGGCCCACCTTCCATCCAGCTCTGTATCACCGGAATGCGCTCCAGTAGCACTGTCGCACGTGAGCCAGCCAGAATGAATGAAAGTGGGTGAAGCTCACTTTCCTTTACTCTCCTTGGCTCGCGTGCGACCTGCCTGGCTGGCTGCACATTCGTTGAAGATGCTGCTTTTGCAGCAACCAACTCACAGGGCCCCTTATCTCAGACGGACCTTTTTCAACCGAAACAAAATTACAGGCGCGCCCTCACTTAAACCACCACTACCCCCACCGTCATAAATTAGGGGGAACCAGTAGCACAGGTCCATGAGGGGTACCGGTAGCACAGTGGGGGGAACTGGCGGAGTGGCAAAATTAAAAAATGCGCCGAATTACCCCCGCAATTTATTTCACAGTTCAAATGATTTTTATTTTTATTTTAATATTTTTCCTGTAAAGATCACGACAAAATCTACGGACCCCCGAATTTTCAGAGTTGTTGGGTCATCCTTCTGATCGCAAAAAATCGAGAAAGTTGGGTTACTTTTCCCGTTGGCCCATACGTGGTAGAGTAGCAAAAATGGAAAATGTGACGAAACGGCGCGGCATTTACTTCACGGTCTAAATTTTTCTTTTTTTCTTTTTTTTGATATTTTTCCTGGAAAGATCACGGCCTAAAAATTTCGCGCTTGAAAATTCTTGGACCAGATCCGCCTGCGCCTGCCGGTCGCTGCCCCCTCTAAGAACCCGGTCTGTAATGCCAGGAAAGTCCATTTTAGGCCAGCGGGGGTAGTGGTGGTTTAAGGGCGGCCACAAGAGGCCTTTCCAGTACTGTCGAGGGCCTGATCCCTCGCACAAAGCACCACGCTGGCCGCCGGGCTATGGTCCCTACTCTCTGTCTGGGTGCAACCACCTTTTTGAGCTTTGTTCAAAGTTTGTACTGAACGACACAAGAGACAGGTGAGAGAGCACTACCGTCTTCACCTGAATAGAACGCCCGGTCATCATAGCCGTATTTGGGGCAACCTTCGATCCAGATGCAGCCATAATGACCGGGCGTTCGATTCGGGTGAAGACGGTAGACGTGTTTCATCTGTTCGATCCTGCAGACCTCTCTTGATGGACAGACAAGTATGCTCATGATAAGGATAAGCTAGTAGCAAGGGTTTTTTTTTCTTTTTCATGATAACATTGATATGCACCAGACCAGTGAAGCTAGCCAGTCTATGCACCCAGATTAGGTTACCATCTCTTCTCTAAACCCATCTCGATATCGAACACCCTACAAATAAGATGGACAAAAGAAGAAAACAAAACACACTGCCCGAATCTCAAATAACCCCGCCCTGGCCTTCAATTTTCTGCACCAGACCAGTAAAGCTAGCCAGCCTGCGATAGCTAATAGCATTCAGGTCAGTTCTCTGTACCAGTGAACAATTGGCTGGCACAGAGACGCAGCAAGGAAAACATAACTGACCCAAGACTCTTGGTGCAAGGTCTGCAATCAACAGATCCCGGAAACGCTACACCACTGTTTCGTTGACTGCCCAAAGGCCACGAACCTATGGCACAAAATAGAGCTCACCCGGAGCACCCTCTCTAATAATTCTCTTGCGATAAGCCCTGGCACGTTATTCCTCGCATTGGAACCTTTGAAGACCACCCCCTCCCCCCCCCCCCCCCCCCCCCCCAAACCCAATTATGATTGATCACAATAAAACACATAATGGAAACTGAACTACATGTGCATTGGAAGAAAACCCAAAAACAAATGCTACACCGAGCCCCCGACAAACAGACAGAAAAAATCCAAAGATTCACAATCTCAGAAATTAGGGTCATGTCATCTAGGCAGGTACAGTCAAGAATGACCACCACTTAATCATCAAGAACTGGCTCATCCTTCCACCCTCATGCAACAGTAGTAACCCAACCAACCAACCAATCAACCCCCAACAACCGAGACCCCAACGCAGACAAACCCTATCCAAATTTCTAAGTTCTAACACTTAGACACTTACCCCTCAATAATCACCACACTCGCCTCGTGCAGCCCCCCTCCTGCATTGCTCTCTCCACAACCCATCCAACCCCCCCCCCCCCCCCCCCCCCCCCCCCCCCCCCCCCCC